TCGCAGTCCTGCGGGAGGTGCTGTCCGCCGCTCCGCCCGCCCGCCTGCTTCTCGTCAACAACGCCGGTAACGACGCCCCCACCCCACCTCGGTGCCCCCCGGGCCGAGCCCTCCCCGGGTTCGGTCGGTGCTTTGGGTGCCGGTAAAGAGCCGAACTGAGGGAATTTCACCCTGTCCGGATCTTATTATTTTATGGAAATAATGAATTTGGGGAGCAGATCGGGGGTGTGTGGCTGCTGGTGCTTTGCTGCTGCAAGGTTTTACCCGTTATTTGGGTAAATTCGGACCCTCCCCGAGTACAAACCTCCAAAAAACCCTTCTCGCCCTGGCCTGTGGGTGCTTTCCTTGAAATCATTAATGGTTTTTTGGCTTTTTTGTCACTCATTATGGCTATAAATAAGACCATGCTTTCTAAGAGGTAATGGTCACTGCAGGAACTGGGGCTTTGACGAGTTTGGGGACATACAGGAGAGCACATGGTGGCCCGTGGGGACACTGCACTTCAGGCTGGAGGTCAGGAGTTGTTTTGGCAGAGGGTTGGCAGGACAGGTTTGTGTCCTCACGGTTGATTTTGGTGACCCCAAAGCGATGAGCAGAGCCAGGCTGAGCTCCTCGCTCTGCTGTGAGACCCTGCTTGAGGCTGGGCCAGCAAAGCTGCTCACTTCTGCCTGTGATAAAGCGTTGCACATGGAAACGTAGGAGGAAAAAGGATCCACTGTGGTGTTGAACCCATCTTTAACTGCTCTTAACTCATTTCCTCTTCCTAGGCTCCCTGGGAGACATCTCCAAATCCTTCCTCGACCTCACTGACCCAGATGAGATCAACAGCTACTTTGCCTTCAACGTCACCTCAGCGCTTTGCCTCACCTCCACCGCCCTGCAAGCCTTTGGGCAGCGTCCTGGCTCGAGCAGGATGGTGGTGAACGTGTCCTCGCTCTGTGCCCTGAAGCCCTTCAAGAACTGGGCGCTGTACTGCAGCGGCAAGGCTGCCCGGGACATGATGTTCCAGGTGCTGGCACTCGAGGAGCCCGATGTCCGTGTGCTCAACTATGCCCCGGGTGAGGAGGGGAGCTCATTTAATCGCTGTGAATTTTCTCCTGGCTTGGTGGATAAAAGATTCTTGCAGCTAAGCCAGGTGGAGGGGGAAGAGGAGCCGCAGATTTCGCTTTCTGCTGATGTGATTTCTTTTTTTGATTGCTCTTTTTCCAGGTCCTCTGGACACGGACATGCAGCTCTTGGCCAGGACTAAGACTGCAGACCCTGAGATGCGTCAGTATTTCCAAAGCCTGCAGGAGAGCGGCCAGCTGATAGACTGCACCGTGTCAGCCCAGAAGCTGCTGCGTCTCCTGGAGGAGGACACCTTCAGCTCTGGTGCCCACGTGGATTTCTACAACATCTGAGTTCCTCTCGTGTCCAGCTTTGCCTTTATGCTTTGCTTTCTGCTGCTGTCTGCTGAGCTGCGTCTTAGAATCACAAATCGCTTGGGTTGGAGAAGACCTTGGAGATCATGAAGTCCAACCATTAACCTAACACTGCCAGTTCCACCACTAAACCATGTCTCCAAACACCTCATCTCCCCATGTTTTAAACCCCTCCAGGGATGGGGAATCCACCACTTCCCTGGGCAACCGTTTCCAATACTTGACAGCCCTTTCAGTGAAAAGGTCTTGGGTGCCTCCAGTGTTTTTTGGTGACCTTGTCTGAGCCCTGTGCTGCTTTCAGGAGAAGACCTTTGGGTGCCTTATCAGTACTGCTGGTGCCACGGTGGGGTTTGGGGCTGTTGCTGTGTGGTAGCTGGGAGCCAAAGTGGCTTTTCCAAGGGAAAAAAAGTGAGTGTGCCAGCCAAGGAGGTACCAAGGCACACGAGGCCAGGTCATAAAACAACCCCAGAAGGCCTCAAAGAAGCCAACAGCAGGGTTAGAGCCGAGTGTCCCCATCTCTGTCCCCTCTGCCTCTCAGGAGCCGTGTGCTCAGCACCCAAGCAAGTCACCAAAGGGCAAATGAGAGGGTGGCTCCCCCCCATTCCTGGGGCTGGAGGTGGTGGCTGTCACCCCAGAGCCCTGTTTCTCCATCCCCTCTCTCACCAGGGACGTGTCCAGACTCTCCTGCAGTTCTGGGATCATTTTACTGTGAATTTTGTGTGTTAATTCATGTTTCTGTGGGTTTTTTTTTTTTGCCAAGGCAATAAATGACCAGGAGAGGGAGTTGTCCATGGAGGAGATGTGAATTTTGGGTGCCTGGCTGGGGTCACCAGCTCACATTAAACGAGCAGATCTGAGTTCACGCCATGCTCGTGTGTGCAGGTTCTGGGCCAAGCCTGGCTCTGGGGTTTCAGCCCCTCCCGGGTTGTTCTTGTAATCGTTTGTGGGTGTTTATCCCCATTTTTTCATCAAGTTGCAGAAGGCACAGGCCCTTCTGGATTAACCCTTCTAGGAAGCAGCTGATGTGCAGCCTGTGTTGATGCAGGAGAGCATCCCCTGCGTGTCCCTCAGTGCTCGGTGACAGTGTCCTTCCTGCTCCCTCTGTCTCAACCCCGTATTTCAAATTCTGTCCCTTTGGATTTACAATCATTAAAAGTTTCATGTTTTGGCTGGGTCTTCTGCTGTATCTTTAAACATGGATGAATTTTTGGAGAGGGTGAAAGGGTTAAGCGCTGCTTTCATCCACGAGTGCCCTCCTGGAGCTCTGATCTTCCCTCCCTGACCCATTTCATTAACTCTGTGTTAACTTAATCATGTCAAGCTCAAAGAAAAACCCCTTCTGTCTTGGTCTGCTGCTTGGTTTCATCTTCCCTCTGCGCCTGTGAAACTCATTATTAGCAAAACCCCCTCTGCTGCTCACTACGCTCACAACAGGGATGTTTTTCTGGGGTTCGATGCCTGGTGGTGTTCGATGTGGTCTGTGAAGCCTGGATGGACCGAATGCTGCTCAAAATCCCCCAGGGGCTGGGCTGAAGGTAGGTGAGTGCCCCTCAAAAAAGACTTAAGGAGCCTCAAGTACGTGTTAGGCAGGGAATGCTGGCCCCAGAGAGTGAGGTGTTTATGTCCCACTGCACACAATGTTAATGAAATCATTAATGAAACACTGGATTTGATGGGTAGCATGGCTTGGGTTGAAGGGACCTCACAGCCCCCCCAGTCCAACCCCCATGGGCAGGGACACCTCCACCAGCCCAGGCTGCTCCAAGCCCCGGCCAACCTGGCCTTGGGCACTGCCAGGGAGGGGGCACCCACAGCTTCTCTGGGCAACCTGGGCCAGGGCCTCACCACCTCACAGGGAGGAATTTCTTCCTCAGATCCAGTCTAAATCTCCCCTCTTCCAGTTTAAAACCATCACCCCTTATCCCATCACTTCATCTCTTGTCAAAAGTCCCTCCCCATCTTTTCTGTAGCCCCTTCAGGAACTGGAAGGTGCTCTAAGGTCCCCCTGGAGCCTTCTCTTCTCCAGGCTGAACAACCCCAACTCTCTCAGCTGTCTCCATAGCAGAGCTGCTCCAGCCCCTGGACCACGTTCATGGCCTCCTCTGGACCTGCTCTAACAGATCCATGTCTGTCTTGTGCTGGGACCTGGATCACTTTTGCTCCCTTTTTGGCCCAGGGGCAGCCCACAAGCAACAGGAGCAAAAATCAGCCTTGGTGACCCTGTCCTTCCAACTAGGAAACTTTACATCTGCTCCAAGAGGAAACCTGTTGTCACCACCGAGCCTGTACCGAGCATGAATCCTACAGCTGCAGTGATGTGCTGTGGCTTATGAGGCTCAGTTTCACTGCTAAAGCAACCATGTGCTGGAAGTTCAATGGAGTAATTTTGTCTTCAGTGTGGCCACTCCACACTTCACGCTGCAAGCTGTCTCCTGGGCATTTTAATTTTTAGGGGTTTCATCTGCTTGGAGACACCAGGAGTGTATTTAGGTGTTTGGCATCACTATGTAACTCCCAGGGATGCACCGAGCTTGTGACTCCTGCTCCAGGAGCAGAGCTCTGCCTAGGGGTAAATGCTTTCAGGGCAACCCTTGGTACCAGCATCCCCCAGTACCAGCATCCCCTTGGTACCAGCGTCCCTGGGGTACCAGCATCTCCCAGTACCAGCATTCCCTGCCCAGGGAGAAATGCGAGTGATGCTTTCATGGCAACCCTGGCTACCAGCATCCCCCAGTACCAGCTTCCCCTTGGTACCAGCATCCCTCAGGTACCAACATCCCCCCAGGACCAACATTCCTTGGGTACCAGCATCCCCTATACCAGCATCCCCCAATACCAGCATCCTTCTGGGTACCAGCATCCTTCTGGGTACCAGCATCCCCCTGTACCAGCTTCCTTCTGGGTATCAGCATCCTTCTGGGTACCAACATCCCCCTGGGTACCAGCATCCCCTACGCAGAGAGCGGGCCCGGTTCCCATGCCCCATGAGTCCCATTGACTTCTGTGCACCCATGGTTGCCGTGAGTTCCGATGGCAGAGTGAGATGAAGCACTTTTCTCCCCTTTTCCAGCATTTTCTGTCACCAGCTGAGGGCGTTCCGAGACCGGCAAACGGCCACCAGCCAGAGCAGAGACTTGGGAACAGGGGACACCACGGGCGCTGCTGGGTAGGGATGGAGCCGAGTTGCAAGCGACAAGTCCCTATGATGATGAATATATATTTTTTTATTAATTAAAGCTCCATGTCCTGAAGCTATGGGACCACACCAGCGGCTCAATTCAGAGGAAAAAAGGGTATTAAAATTTCCTGATTTCCTGGCAAAGCGATTTTCCTGTAACTGCTGGGGCTAACACACCCGGCCCTATGGGGAGCCCCGGTTTTTGGGCAATGCTCTCCAATGGGATGAACCCTGCGGCTGAAGGGAGCCACCCCGAAAGGACTTGGCACCTCCTCCATCCCTGACAGGACCCAAGGGCTCTGTGCTCCCTGATGGGGTTACAGTGGGGCTTATCAAACCCCAAATCCTGCCAGCCTGCCTTTCCATCCTGCTTCATGTAGCAAAACACTGTTCAGGGCATTTTACTCCTTTTTGCCCTTTTTCCCCCCTTTTTCGCCCCTTTTCCCACTTTTTTCCTTTTTTTGCCCCTTTGTTCCCCTTTCCCCTCCTTTTTTCCCCTTTGCTTTTTCCTTCCCATCCCCAGAGCAAAGCATCTCCCTGAGCCTTGGTGAACAGGGGGAGGCAAGGCCGGAGTGTGAGCTGTGCAGATGCCTCCCCATGTGAGATCCCACTACAGAAAACCCCCAGAATGGCCTCGAGAGCAGTTTGGGACATGAAGGGACATGTGTGTGCGATGTCAGGGGTGATGCCACCCCAGGGGACCCTCCTCACCCCCTCTCCATGCCAGGGGAGACACTGAGCCCTTTGTGTTCGCAGCGAAATGCGGGGAACCAGGTTATGAAAGGAGTCAAAGTCACTGCTGGGGTCTTGTTTCCGTGTGTGTCACTGGGTCTCTGGGACGGCGGCGAGGGCGAGCCACCTAAATCCCCCCCAAAGCCTCCCAAATTAAAACCGGCGTGCACCCGCCGACCTTCCAAATCTGGGCCGCTGACCTGGGCTGCCCCCGGCTCAGCGAGGCGAGAGGCTGCAGCCCGGTCCCTCTGGCTCTTAGGAAAGGTTTCTCAGCAGAGGGGAGAAGAAGACCTTGACTGTCCCATCCGGTGGCCAGAAATGCTGAGTACGAGCCTTTCGGCCAGGACACCGAGTGCCCGGCGAGCTCCTCGCTCGAAAACAAGCAGCCACCTCCGACCGCCAGGCCAAAGGTAAATGAGCTTCTCCAGGGTGGGGAAAGGTCTGGTGGTGCCCACGCTTCCCACCCAGGGACCCCCATCCCATAGGCAAAGGGTGCCCATGGAGACACCTGAGCCATCCCAAAACCTCCCATCTCTCCATGTGACAAGTTAGAAGCTTCACAGGGTCTTTTCAGGGCTGTGGCTGGGATTTGGTGGGTGTTCACTACAAACACCTTTGTGCTGAGCTGGCCCAGGCCTCAGCCCCTTATCCCCAAACATGAACGCTTGCCCACACATTCTCCTGCCCATAACCCTTCACACTCCTCACTCTTAGCCCGCTGACCAGCTTTTGGTCATCTCCCCTCTATGCTGTCCCCTGTTTCAGGTGGCCTCAGCATTAAGGAAGGCAAAGGACCAGCTCCAGACTGGCCATGTCCCCTGGAGTCAACATTTAATGGATAACTAGGGACCCACTGGTCCAGCAAGAGGAGATGACAGATTAACTCGGTTTAGAGTCAAAGAGCAATGAGTTTGCTGGTAAACTGTCCTGTTCCTGCGAGCTTCAAATGCCTTTAATGAGTTATTATTTAGTCGGCTATGGAGGTTAATGGGGGGACATTGCAGAAATGATCTGTGATTAATTAAACTGTCTTTATCGGGCATGGGCAGAGCTGAGCTGGGTGCTAAGC